GGAAATGGACAGCCACCCTGTGTGTGCAGGTGGAGGCAGAGCGACGGAAGCGGGCGACAGTGCTGGAGTCGGAGGGCACCCGGGAATCTGCCATCAACGTGGCCGAGGGGCAGAAGCAGGCCCAGATCCTGGTATCGGAAGCTCAAAAGGCCGAACAGATCAACAAAGCTGCTGGTAGAGCCTCAGTGTAGAACTTGCCTCAGGCTCCAGGGCCTGAGGGCCCTGTAGCCCTCGAATGAGGGCGGTTGCTCTCTGGCAGCAGATTGTGTCACTGTGTGCTCTGCAGGCTGCGTTCTGCCCCGGCTGCTGTGGCCTCCCTGCCAGGGCCCTGGGTCCAGATTCCAGCTGCTGGTGCTGCCCTGCAGGCTACGGCGGCAGGAGGGGGTTGCGGGGAGGATCCTTGTGCTGCTCTTCGAGAAGGGGAGACTTTGGGGGAGCGAAGCGGCGCTTCTGACACGTGCTTTGCTGTGCTCTTCTTTGGCAGCAAGGAGCGGTGCAGCCTTGAAGTCAGGTGCCGGGCACAGGTGTTGGCACCTCCTCCCTGACGAGCCCTCTGTCCCCAGCACGGCAGCCCCCCCGCCTCTCTCTCTGTGGCCGAGCAGTACGTGAGCGCCTTCTCCAAACTGGCCAAGGACTCCAACACGGTCCTGCTGCCAGCCAGCACCGGCGACGTCACCAACATGGTTGCGCAGGTCAGTCTGCTCAGAGGAACCGCCTCCTTTCCCAGCGGTAGCTGGAGCCTGAGGGATGTGGAGGGCACAGTCCAGCAGGCCCCCCCGCCTCTCTCTCTGTGGCCGAGCAGTACGTGAGCGCCTTCTCCAAACTGGCCAAGGACTCCAACACGGTCCTGCTGCCAGCCAGCACCGGCGACGTCACCAACATGGTTGCGCAGGTCAGTCTGCTCAGAGGAACCGCCTCCTTTCCCAGCGGTAGCTGGAGCCTGAGGGATGTGGAGGGCACAGTCCAGCAGCCCTGAGCTGCTGTGGAGCAGGTGGTAGCGCTGTTAGATAGTGAAGAGGAGGAATTTGGCCCAGATAATTAATTAATTTCCCAGCTGTGGGCTGGAATGTGTTTCACAGCCCTTGGACAACAGGCAGGTCTCTGCTCCGGCAATCTGAGGCTGGGCCTGAGAGCTGGTTGTGGCGATAGCAGACAGCTGGTTGTGGCGATAGCAGACAGGACCCTTCCCTCCAACCCAAGATAAGATGGCTGGAGGACAAGGCTGACTTTCTAGCTGTTTCTTTTGGATGTACATTTGCTGCTATCTTGTCCATCTCCCTGCCCCGAACAAGGGTTCAGGTCACCTCCTGAAGGCACCTTGGTGCTGTGGCAGGACGTGCTCTCAGTGGGGCTTTCTCACATTGCAACATAGCACGGAAACATCGAGGCCTTGAACACAGGCCCTTTAGAGGCTGTTGTGTCCCTGTCCTGTGCCTGTGTTGTCACAGTCCTGCTGCGTGTCCTGCCCCATCCCTGCCATTCCGCATGGCCCTCTCCAGAGGCAGGCTGCTCCCCTGTGCTTCTCCTCTCTTCCCTGATGGCTCTTTGACTTCCCGCAGGCGCTGGGCATCTACAGCACGCTGACCAAGCCGCAAGCCCTGAAGACCCAGGACGAGAAGCCTCCAGCCCCCAAGGACCCGCAGGTGCCCAGCACGGAGGTGCCGAAGGCGGAGCAGGGGAACTCCAGCTAGCAGGGCTGAAGGGACACTGGACGTGCTGCTGTGGCAGCCCCAGGAAGGGCATCTGGGCTCAGTGCCTGCCCAACTGCAGGGGATCCTGTTCTGCTGCTGCTTTCTCCAGTCAGACACTTTTCTTCCTCTTTTTGGTTCTTATTTTGTATGGGGATTTAATCATGTAATAAAGGTGATGGGTACTGGGGATACAGCATGTCCTCATGGCACTTGGGAACGGGACCTGCCTGAGGGCAAAATGCACAGGGTGAGACTGGATCCATCCTAATCCTGCCGGGGCTGCATAGGGAGAGGATCCCTAGTGGGGAGGGGGGCTCCTGGTTGCCTCCCAGTGTGTTCCCGCACATCCTGGCCGGTGCCCTCAGCTCCTGCTGCTGTCGCTCAGAGAAGCCGCAGGGACCGCTTCGCCTGTCAGTTATTTTTGTCCGGGGGC